GAGTGGTCGGAAGACTAAAAAGGCACTATACCAGTACAGGTCCATTTACCATTTACCATCAAACCAGACAATTGTACACAAGTGCAACAGAAAGACTTGGCTCAACACTCGCTATAAGTGGAAAGTAAAGGGAAGTGACCAAGCAAACCAAATCTGTTTGTTGTGTAACCATGACTGAAAGTGCTCTCTTATCTCCCGCAGCTGAGTGAGGGGCAACGGGATCCCACCCTACCATTATAGTACTGCCAAAACATAAGTAGAACTCCTCGCATGTAATAAGCTGTACTGAAACATAAAGCATAATTAGTGACTGTTTTCTAGTGCCAAATAGGACACAGGAAGTGACATTTAACTTCATGCACTGTCTGAAAAAGCTGCCTCTGTGGATAGGTTATCACATATTTATTTATTTTTTATTCATTACAATTAACTTTCATTGACCCTATAATTAATGTAGTGTAGGTAAGGTTTTGTCCACTTGGTGGTACCGACATCTGATCTGACCCAAAAACTAAATAACAGGAACATATAATGTACATATATATATTGTGAGTATAGTTACATACGTATAGTATAGTATAGTATAGTACATACACACAAACACACTGAAAGGACTAAAAGAAGCCACTTTGGTGTGCACAGAGATTTGTGACCAGGACTGAAGAAGTGTCAGGGCAACTCTAAGTGTTTGTGAGTGTATCTTTCAGTACCTATCTATCTCCAACTCTCTCTGTCTCAGCAGCCCCTCCTTAACCTTCACCAGAGTGTTGACAGGAAGGGTGGTCCCCATCAGCATCTTCAGACACACACAAACACAGGTTGTTGAACACATACAGTGCACAAGTATACAATGACATAGTTTAATAACAATAGTATCATTTAGTAGTCGTTTTAATTATCAATAATTAATTATGATAATTGGATAAAATGCAGAATTGCAAATTGCAATTGCAAAGTGTTTTTGTGTGGTCAGGTGTGGTAACGCTACATCATAGCTGCACACAGTGTGGACTAGAACAGATAATCTGATTTCTGATTCTAGGTGTCATGGTTCGATTCAGAGTTATTTCATAACTGATTCTTGAGTTTCGCGGCCACCAGTTTCTCCTACACAGTTAGAAGGCTGAGCTGTATTTAAATGCAATTTAAATTACAAGGAAACTCCATAGGACATGTTTAACATAATATGGTACAAAGTCATTATTTTTCAGTCAAGTGAATTGTGCGTGTTAAACATAATGATATTTGAGGATATACCTCCTTCATGTCTAACCTTCATTCTTTTTGCTTTTTTCTCTCTTTCCCTTCTTTTTTTTCTTGTCTCATTATTATAATATTTCTCTTACCTGGTTAAGCCCTGGTTCCTGCTGATGTCCCTGCTGCCATGGTGACAACCCATCTGCACCGCAGCCCTCTGTTCCAGTGTTGATCTGACTAGATTTACCTCTGCACTGTACTTTGGGCCTGTACTCCATTTGCTCAGTCAGCCACATCTGGGTACGAAATGCAGTCTGAATTGGGGAGCCTCTATCAGTCTGATGACCCAGTGGTGACTCTGCTTGTTTGGGTAAGCTGAGGCCATAAACCTGTCCACCTCCGCGAGCCAGTTTTGCATCCGATAAAGCACCATAGTTCATGTCCAAACTGTTGTGTTTTACCGGTGAGGACAGGGCTGAGGAAAGGGATAGGTCTGTGTCTAAACCAGTGGCTCTATTGCTGTGGTACCGGTAGTAGGGGCCACTACCTGGTGAGCGCTGCAGCAAGCTATGGCAGAGCAAAGACGTAGATAAAGGCAGATAAAGGTCCACAGTTGAACCAAGGGGCTCCTTTCTGTACCCATACCGCAGACCCCTGTCCAGAGAGCCTTGTGAGCCTGGGTTGTACTGATTGCCTGATGTCCTAGAGCAGCTCTTATCAGCCCCAGATGACAACTTAGTGAGAGAGGACCACCTCCGGATGGGCTGGTGGTCTTTCATATCCAGACAGCATGGTGCACCCAAGGGAGACATAGCTGGCATAAACAGCTGGCAAGACCCGCTCAAGTGATTTGTGCTGCTGGGTGAAGGTGTTATTCTAAAACTGCTGCAGGGTGACGAGGATGGGGACGGCATGACATGGACAATAGGGATGCCATCATCATCGTCCTGGTGCAAGTGATGCTGGGCCTGAGGCTGGAAAGACAAAGGTGTGGTACTTGAACTGGAGTCATCTGTAGGAAGAGATACAGGCCAAAGAGACCATTAGAAAGTGAATTTTATCATCAACACAAAAATATCAACACAAGCACATCGTACTGAATGAATTAGTCCCCCTAAAACTTGTATGTTTGAAAGTATTGTAAGAACTAAAACTGCAACTGCCTAAAGGTACATTAAGTGATTATCAGACTCTATTATTAGAGTCCATTGCCCAACCCTCAAATCACACTGGCATAATGGCATTTCCTGGGGTGAAGGTTTCTTTTCTTCCTTGTGCCAGTTTGGTATTTGCTGCACTGCAGTAGGAGGAGAGGCCTGATGGGCTTTGTGTGTCAGTCAGACCAAACTATAGGAAGGTAAATAATAAATGTCAATAATTAAGCCAAGATGATTATGATAATGATTTAACATATAGACTAGTTAAAGACCAAATTTAAACAATGAAATTTAGGCTAAAGTCAGACAGTTACACAATGTTACCACTATGATATTACATTCCTTTAAAACACCTGTGAGTGTGGGCACCCCATAAAGGGTCAAAATATTGTTTCACCTCACCTTTGATGTGTGATTATAGGTCATCAATCAAATCAGTGTAAAAAATAACTATCTGTGAACTCCTGAACAGGACTATTAGAAGGAAACATACATTTCACCATAAAACCATTTTATTCCAAGTAACAAGAAAAATATGATTTGTATGTTGTGCATCTGGGGGAATGTAAACAGCAGCATGGGTGTTGTGATGATGATAATATGGTTTCATTTTCACATAAAAAGAAACAGTGTTTAAGCACCAAGCATCATCAATGTAAATACAGAGTCTGCCTTATCTCGTCTTGCACTCTGCTGTGTGAGAACAAGGTCCACCTGTCAAGTGTTTGATCCAAGATGTTGATGAAGCAGGTCTCTGTAAAGATGAGGGCACAACAGTCTCTGATTTCCCATTGTTTTGCCAGGCCCATTTTGTCCAGATTGGACATTAGCCAGGAGCGGCCTCAAGTCCAAAGTCATTTCAAGGTTTGCTGTTGCTGTTGAACACTAAATGTGAATAGAATAAATAGACAGGCCATCCTACCTTCCAAGCTGTCAGAGCAGTAAGTGCCTATGCCAGTGTCACCACTGTCAGACACTGTGCTGTGTCGGCGGCCACCAAAGATACTGTTCCCTGGGCCAGGGGTGTTGGTGTGCCAGGCTGATTCATGGCCAGGGATCCATCCTGGAGAGCCACCACTAATGGAGCCTGAAACAATATTTTTAAAGCTATATCACACAAGTTACACAAAAAACTGAGGTTATTAGGTAAGCCACATGGTAATGCTTAATGGACTAAAGCCACAGAGAACAATAAAGAATTTATATTCTGACAGTCACCAGTTTATTTTTTTCTTTCAAATTTCCCTTAGGCTTTTTATTGTTTTGTAGTAATGTAAGAAACTGACATTTCATTTACTAATCAGAAGGTTGGCGGTGTGATCCCCATCTCCTCCCGCTGCATGTCAAAGTGTCCTTGAGCAAGATACTGAAACTGTATGACTGTGTGCTTAGTTTCTGTTCAGGTGTATGAATGTGTGCAAATGGGGTGAGTGTAGCATGTAGTATACAGTGCATTTAGTGGTTGAAAGGCGCTGTATAGGTGCTTCATTTACTGGAGAGTCCTTTTGTAAAACGTATTAAACAATGCACAGCAGTTTTTAATACTCTAAGACAGGATTTTACAACTGTGGAACATTATGACAGTGGCAATTATTTGATCTTTTATCAAGACAGGTAAGGTAAACAGCAGAAAAACGTTTAAGTACATTTAATTGGCCATGGTTTTACCAGCGGTATTAGCACCCGCAGAACAACCTCATTTGAATGAATAAGGGTGCTGCATTTTTTATACAGGGCTTAAAGCTGCAGTAGGTAACTTTTATGAAAATATTGTCATATATGCTGAACACTTTCACTATAGCCTGACAATGGTACATAAGATTCTGTGAAGACATCAGGTTGCTCAGGCTACTCCTAGTGCTTCTCATGGCCTTCGCAAGAATCCACTGGGCCTAAATAAAACAACCAATCAGAGCTAAGAAAGACTGTTGATTGTGGAGTCTCATCCCAAAATACATATGCTTTTCAGATTATTTGTCTCATGTACTACTTTCAGAACACAATTTCCGCAGTAATGACAAGTTGTTTTAATAAAAGTTCCCTACTGCAGCTTTAAGCCAGTCTGAATGTGATCTGATATGTGGCAAATAAAAGAATTAGAATGACATTTAAAACAATATGCAATGAAATTCAGAATGATGAAATGAAATGAATAAAGATAGAATAAATAATGCAAACAATGAAAAACACAAAGAGAATAGACCAGAAATACAGTTACAGTGCAGTTAGTAATATGATGTAAGTTTCCCCAAATGAAACAAAGGAAATAAAAGTGCAGCATAGAAACCAATCAATCAAAGGCACAGGAGAACACCAGTGTGTAACATTTAGGAGGATGTATTGGCAGAAATGGAACATAATATTCACAGGTATGTTTCTACAGCAGTCCAGAAGTGACAAACCAAACACCTAGATATGATTGTTCACATTTATCGTGCATTTCGTAGCCACCGTAGTTTCTCCTTCATGCTTGGAAGCGGAGAGTGAAGCCAAAAAATTCCAATCTGTAGCTACACTGCAAGATGCCACTAAATGCATACACGTATATTCTTGAGTTATGACCAAAAACATGTT